CTCGGATCCACCCTACGTCGCTAGACCCCGACTCCGCAAGGTCCGCCAACCAAGGCGCAGGAGCCGCTCGTATTGAAGCTGGAGGTGTTGAACCTCGAGCCGTTCGACCCGGTCGACCAGGTGAGACCACCTTCGACCGGTTGTACCGTGACGCACCTGTGGACCCGGTCGGTCGAAGTGATTGACACTGAGGAAGCAGTGACTGGTCTCTGAGAGGAATGCCAAGAGTCCGCTTGCGACTCTGAGTAGCTGGGATCTTGCCACGAAGGCTTCAAGTGAAAGCCTTTAAGTCTTCTGATCGTTCATTGGGCAAACAATCCATTTCTGACCAGTTTTCGGTAGCAGTAGGGTTGAATGCCACCAACAAATTCTGGTTTCCAGATGTTTCCAGATATTGCTGGTACAAGGCACCACAAATGAGAGAACCATAGCCAGCTGAGTTCTCCTACATACAGAGATCTCTTCTGGTGGCCGCCCAAGGCCTTACTCAGCCTTATATACTCACAAAGGTGTTTGACAACTACAGGAATCAAAGGAGACCTTTTCCAGAAGCATCTGTTCTTTTTGATCCCTGAGGACTTCTCACCAGACTTGGGTTCTTCCCGACCTCTGTCAACAGGCCTGTGTCCTAACAGCCAGAATCCCTGGCCGCAACAGCAACTTGGGGGGTTCGAACTTATCCAACCACTGAAAACCAACCACCCTCCCAAAAATAAACCGCCTGCGGGAGAGTTTCCCGCGCAGCTTCCTGGCAGCAAGAAGGCGAAACCAATACAAAACTCGAGCGTCTATCAGGTCGAAAATTGAAATTTCAAGGTGCAATGAATGGTTGTTGACTTTGTATGGAGGGAAAAGCTACGTTGCTACCTCTTGAGGGGGTCACAATGAGGGACCAGTGCAAGTAATAGGACATGAAGGGTTCTTCTGCTCAAAAGTCCATCACCATCTCTGCTCTTAAAACTCAATGTTCCCCCCGAGCCGACACGCTGTGCGGCTGTGCGGGGGTCAATTAAACCCACAGGCCCCACTGCCCTCGCAGCATACTCCAACCACCCGCAGCTCAAGAGAAAAGGATTATCCCGGCAAGCGACCTCAGACAGTGCTGAGAAAATGATGTTGTTGTCCTAGTGGTGGTGGTAGCGTCTTGAAAAAGAACAATCCTTACGGGAGCCTTTCTTCCTTCAGCCTGGGGGCTGAAGGCCCAAAAACTGCAAGCGCAAAGCCGTGTGCCAATGAAGCCCACGCCGCCAGAAGCTGGCCCCAAGCTTGTAGGTTGAGATACAGGGCTCAGTCGAAAGGCTGCAGGATACACTGCGCAATGACTGTGGATTGCAACACAACTGGCAGAAGGGACACTGAAATGTCACGCGGCACTTGTTCTGCGACGCTTGCTGTTTCTGCGCTTCCGATTTGGGAGCGTTAGAAATGGCTGCTTCAAACAACTCTACACACTCAAGGCTTGAAATGACGCTGAAGTAACAACTGAAATGTCCAATCAGGCCTGCCTCCAACGATTCCCATGCCTCTACCCATTGCTTACGCAAGTGGTTTGAGGACTGGAAGCCCTTTTCCAGCGTCGCTCAATGGTGGATAGAAAAGTGTCCCCGTCTCTAGGCCGAGGATAGCCCAGAGTGGTCCACATCACTGCTCACAACTCTGCGGTCAGCAGTGCAGGTTCGCTTGCATTTGACGCAGTGCTTCCCCATGATCTTGTGAGTTTTCAATCTACACGCCACTCGCCCCGCTGCTCCTTTGAGACACCGCACTCGGCGCACTGCTTGCTGGGCGTGGTATCATGGGAATCATGGGCTGCTTGGACAGCCGGATGCGCTTCGCACTCAGTTCACTGGCGGTCTGAAACTGGGTCCGCCCGTTCTGATTTAGTCTCACGATGTTATTAGATCATCCAGGCATTGGACGCTCTGCGTCGGTAGTTGCATTTTTTGAGCTCCGGGGCACAGTTGGCACGAGAAACCATTGCTCTGACAGGCTTACTTGGCCACAATGTAAGGCCGGCCCAATGAATATGCATGCCTTTTCTAACCCAATTAGACTTGCAAGTGTTGCCGACAATAAAGTGGCGACAATTACGCTTCAATTTGGATCGGACACCCAAATCTACAGCCCTCGCCACATTGATTGCTCAAGGCTTGCAAGCGCACCATCTGCGCATCCTCATCGACTGGTCCGCACAGTCTCTGGCGAGGTTTGCAGCAAGGAAAAGGGACCTCAATGGTGGCCGAGCCCCAGCCGACATGTCAAACTATTGCTCGCCGCACACGTCGATCCAAAAAACCCAGCCTTCACCCCTACCGTAAGACCCCCTAGCAGTGGGACCAGACTCTTTGGCGAAAAGAACAAACAAACTCCGACCCGACCGAACAGACGCCGTCGTCTCGCATCCTCGACCGTCTCGTTCAGCGGCTCGCGGCCTGGCGGAGTTCGCAGGACGGGAGGTGGGACCATGTAGCAACGGAAGGAGGTCTGGTCTTTTGTACCAGGACCCTCCAAGGGGTGTCTGTTTTTTAGCTCCTTAGCTGTTAAGGGGTGTCCATGGTAGATTCTATACTAGTTGTAACCATCCGGTTAAGTCACGTTACCAACCAGATGGTTTGTAGAACAAGTCTGGTTAAGTCAGTTGCGCCGTCTACGAACGTCCAACTTCCTTCCGTCTTGAGTCGAGTACCCGACGCCTCCACCGATGCACCAGGTGGTGAATTACCGGAGAGCCATCACCCGGTCACCCGTGATACGAACGAAAAATCTCAACAAGGAGAGGCAGCTGCTTGTAGAACTTCTCAGGCTTTGACTCCCTTGACTTGTAGAACTGGTCGTGATCGTCTTCTCAATTTCGTTTTGACTCACTTAGTTGAACCTCTCAGGCCTGATTTCAGGGAGGAACTCACCACTTACGCACCCCACAAACTGAGTTTCCTCCCTGAAAGCATCATGGAAGTGGAACATGGCCCCTGGAAAGATCCTTTTCCGCCTCAAACCAGGGCTCTGTCCCCTTCCATGGTTTCGTTGACTCACTCGTTTTGGTCCCCAAACCGTCCCCAAACCGGCCCCAACTGGTCCAACCTCCAGGTGGGCCACGGCCACTGAGCCGGTAACAGAAGGTCCGGACCTGGGCGCACCAGGGCGGCGCTTAGAATCTCTTCATTCAGGCGGTGCAGGGATTTCGGACCAGTCCAGCCGGTACAGCTCCAAAAAATCGATGGACCAGGGGCGCAGGGGTGTTTTCGGTTTTGGGGCCTGAAGACAGCTCATCGAAACATCCGCCAAACGGTGAGGCTCCTAGATGCTTCCTCCCCAACCTGCAAGGAATGCGGCTCGATGGGGAGACTTCGGTCCCAAGGGAGTAGACAACACGGCAAGTGGTGCCACTTGAACCGTAGGCTGTGAACCGTCAGTTCGGTACGGTTCAAGAATTCGGGGGAAGACACCAGGCCCCTCCTCACCTTTGGCGTGGCCAGATGATTCTCTGTGCAACGAAGTGACCAGTATTGTTCTCTGTTCGTCAAAGATCCCTACATGAAGAACTGTTATCCCTCAGTCTCCTCCAATGGGTCTCTGTTGAGACTCCCGGCACAAGCCATGGCAAGGCTGGGTTGCAGTTCCGTGTGGAAACAACACGTGCTGAGGAGAATTGGAGCTAGATCGGTCGCCTAGTAGGAGGCCGGCGTACTGAATGACTACTAGTTTCTTCTGGACTGGACCAATAACTTGGGTTCACCCTAGAACCCTGCAACTGACGATTTGCGCGACGCTCGAGAGAGATATAATCCACATGTTCCAGAGAAGGTCATTCTGGGTTGCCCAATGTCGAGCAGACTTCACCAGAACCTCGGGGTGCCTGCACCTGTTTCGGGGGAAGGGTTTTTTTTGCGCAAGAGTGAATTCTGGTTCTGGAAAAGAAACTGTTTTTTTTTGGTTCTGGGACAACGATCAGTTTCATGCGACTTCACCGTCCAAAGATCCTTGCGTATAGAGACTGACTCCGCCGTTTCCCTGGAACATCAAGGTGAATTCACCTCTGTTCGTCCTTCTTTCCACCTGCTTCATCGGGAAACCCATCCTCCCAAAGATGGGGTATTGAAAATTCTCCACTTTTAAGGACAAGTATGGAGAGGGAGTCCGTCTCCGTCAGGTGTATCCAAGGGTTGCGAGTCGACTGCTGATCAGCCAACGCCGGGAGAACAGCGGCTGGAGTGCTTGACATGTGTTTTTTTTGGAGCAAGCCAAAACCAAGAGAGGTTAAGTGACCTTTTAGGACCTTGCTGGGTTACCTATGGGACAGTCATGGACAGTCTATGGGGAACCTCTGTTGGAAAGCATGTAGCTTGATACTTTTTATGTTTCTTTCATCTTCTTTCTACCCCTCTGGTTGAATGCATCTGCGGCAGCAAAAGCAGCAGAACACGACGCTTGACAAAAGCTGCGGGCATCATCGATGCGTTGGCGATGGGGGAGTCGGACCCTGCAACCATTCTTGGGTTTCAGTCGATGTTCTGCTTCGAGGCGGAACACGACGTGCTCAGCAGGATCCTCAAAAACTGTGCAACCCCCTATATGAACTTGCAGCTGTCTAAAAAGCAAGAGGCACCCCATGTATCCAATAAACATATTAACATGACATCACTCTTTTGAGGGGCTATGGCTACTTTGTGCATGACGAAAATTACTAAAACATGCAAAGTAATTTGATGTAGACTGTTGATTAATAAAGCCCCTCTACTCCTACCAGAATGGTTTACGTCTCCATAATATGTGTTTTCAACCAACAGTCAACATTAGCCTTCCACAGGAAAGACGTTCCAATAGCCAAACTTGGCTCTCATCTTCGAGGCCACACTTCCAACATGCAAAGTGACCCCCCCGTTGGTCAAAGCACATGAAACCCTTCACAGCCACCCCTGCAGTTACTCCTCCTCTGTGTGTGGTTTGACCAAAGCGAAGGATTTCCTCTGACCTGAAGGACCTTGGCCCTAGAAGCCCTCCTGTAGTACTTCATCATGTAGGACATTGCCATAGACCTCAACCGGTGCCAAAACGCACCGGAGAACCCAGCAAAACGGGCACGGAGAACCCGGAGAACCGGTTGAAAGGCGAAGAACAGCCACACAGGACGGTCCAGTTGAAGCCGTAAGACGTGAACCTAAGTTCACGCGAACCTACGTCGTTTTGTGATGCGAAAAAGAATGAAAAAGATCGTGAACCCGAACGGAGAGGACCAAGAAGTGAAACGAAAGAACCCACCGACATGGGGGGGGAACAGCTTCGGGAAGACCATGTTGCCCGACAAACAGGGCGTGAATCCACGTCCATGGTAGTTCCAGGAGAGTACCTTCAATATCCTGCAAAGAAGGACCACAGTAGTAGGTGAAATGTTCATCTTCAGCGCTTCTGGAGGAGGCTCCATGCTTCACAGGAAGCCGGAAACTGATGGTAGTTCACCTCCGGTTTTACCTGGCGTTTCCCTCGATCCCCCCCAATTCGCCACCTAGCCATTACTATATAAGAATTAAACAATACAATATTTAACTGTTTTAATTATCTAAAAGCTAGAGAAGTCTTCATTGCTGTCGGCATCATGCAGTGCGAAATGATACCTAAAGGTCCCTCTATCATATATATATATATATACACTCGGGAAGATTAACATGGAACCTGAAAACCACTGGGTTGTAGAGGAAAATAGTCTTCCAAAGGTCCATTTTCAGGTTCCATGTTAGTTTTCGGGAGTGTATATACATATAAATATATATATATATATATGTGTGGCAAAGAAACTCATCTGCCTTCGCCTCTGTTTAAGCCCCTCTCCACGTGGGGCAGCAAAGGGGCCCTCTTCAGCTTGGAGTTCCCCCTTGTGAACGTGAGCAGAGTGAAGAAAACGAGCAATGATGGACCTCGCCACCATCTGCGCCCGTCCAGCTTGACCACCATCTGCATTATTCCCTCGATGTGTCGAAGTATCCGCACCGGAAGCGCTAGGTTCGAACTAGTGGATCGTAGGGTCTCTTCGTAGGTGTCCAAACACTTCTTCTCCGCCAGTTCCAAGAAAACCACCCAAACCGGCCAAACCGCTATCCCCCCCCTCTCCCCCGCTCCCCCGCACCGCCCCGACGAGGGAGAAACCGCCAGAACCGGGTGCCCCGAGCACACTACGGGAAACACCCTGCTGGCAATGGATGAGCACCGATCCATCCTCCAGGCCGCGTGCGTAGCTCGTAGCTCAAGGCATGACAGGCATGGCACAACTCCAATCACGCGCAACAAATAGGCTGATCTAACCACTGATATGGAGAGGAAGGCAATATGGGCACTATACTAAGCTACTTATATACCCCGCGCACGCAGTACTCCGCCGCCTCGCGCACCGCCGAGCCGGCGCCGCTTCGCGTGGGCGAGCTCCTCTCGAACGCGGGCCTTTTCCAAGAAGCTCCAGCTCGCCTGGCGGACGAGGTGTCGGAAGTCTCGACGGCGTCGACGAGGCAGTCGCTCAGTCGCTCAGTCGGTCAAGAAAAACGAAGACCGAAACAACAAAAGCGTGTTTTGGGGGCTCCTTTAGTAAGGTCCTCTTTAAAGAAGGGGGCCTTGTTAGAGGGGCCCCTTACCTTCGTTTGCATCGTTCTGCGGCGCGGAGGATGGCAAGGAAGGGTTGCCGAATGTTGTCGAGGCGTTTCCACTGGCCATGAGTTGTAGGGGAGTATTGTTTATCCCGACTAACCTTCTCAAAGTAAACTGATCATGGCAGATTACTTTATTGCTATTGTAAAGAATGCACTGCAACATGAGCTGAAAACCCACGGAACTGGCTTTGTTGTCACTTTCGCAAAAGGCCATCGTGGTCCTTTCGCGCACGGGCGTGGCCTTTCACGGCCAAGGTTTGAACGAAAAACCTCTTGCAACCAAGGCTTCAAGTTTCAAGCCAACAAAAAAAAACGCATTCAATACTAATTCACACGAATTCTGTCTTCTTCCAAATCGGGGCTCCGGTTCTGTCCCCAACCGGACGGCTCTGTCGCCTCGAAGCGGGTTTGTAAGGTCTCCGTGGCATTGTCGCCCATGGAGACCCGGCAGTAGTCGAAGTGGGGGTCCTGGGTCGGGACGTTCGAAGCGTGGCCGGGTGGCCGGGTGGAACATAGAAAAGGGATTGAAAAGGCATCAATGTGTGGCATTCTTGGTATAGGATTTTTTTTGGGATTCTATATAGGATTCTATAGTCTATAGGTATTTGGTTCTTCCATGTCTCCGACCCAAAAATACCTTCCTAGCGGGGCTGTTCTGTTTCGTTTTCGAAAGGACCCGCACCGGCCAAACGATGGACTCCATCCAGAGGATCGCTTTGGGGAGCATCGCACGGCCCATTTCGGCCCATTGAAGAAAAGGAACCGGTCACCGGAATCCGGAGTCTCCACCCAGCTTCGGAAGAACGGTCATGCATCCCAAGGATGGAAAATCCGACCAAAATCAAATTTAAATTGATAGCTTCTTGTTACTACTAGTAAGGCACTTGTTGCTAGTAGCGATGCACTTGTTACTACTAGCTTCTTCCGTAATTATACCCCAGACGGCTTCAAAACGATTCGTTGGGACCAATAGGCCGCAGAGTTCAGGGGCGCGGCCAGTCAGTATGGCCAGCTCTTTTTTTTTCGAAGATAGAACCCCAACAGTAAACTGTTTGGGGAAAAAAGAATAGATAGCAAAGGAAGTGCCGTCCATCTCTGTTTTGGGGAGAGAAACATCTCCTGTCGACGATCGTGTTCAGACCTTCTCATCTTCTCATCTTCATCCGTTTTCACGAAGAAAAAACCGGTCACCCTCACGACAGCGACAGCGAAGACAACCGGAAACGAAGACCAACGATCAACGAACCGCGACCGATCACAGTGGGGAGGTTGCGGTCACCCTTTGGTGAAACACGAAAGTGACCAACAGTACAGCGAAGAGCAGAGGTTCAGTGACCATTTTTCTAAGACCCATCACCTGGGAGACCGTCATGGGATAGCCTAGTTCAGGTTCTTCAACCTCTGTTGGGAGTACAGCGATGTTTCAATTGAAAATCGTGGTCAGCTCCCTCTGAGGGTGCGAGTATCTGCGAGTGGTCGACCACTTCCCTGACACGTCCCGGCGTGAAAGACTGAAGGCCCAGACGACAGTTCTGGGTGGTCTCTGAGGTCCCGTATTCAGCACTTAGAGTTGTTGGATGTTGTTGGTATATATACTTGCTCCCGAGCCGGAAATCCGAAAATAACGGTTAACTTTGTTCCACCTGTTCATTTTTCGTGGGGTGTCACCTATCCCCAACAACTGTTAAAGGTTATCCACGGACTGGTGGTGGATACCAACCCACATCCGTTTGGACTCGACCTTCTTTCGACCTCCCGGCTCGCCGGGTCTCGCCTTCTCAAAGGCGTTGGCGACGCCCCCGTTGGAGCGGGGTGGCGTGCAATTCAAGATATACCTGAGCTGCGCAACTCATCCAGACGCCCCCAGGTCGGGCCCGGTTGGTGGCGACCCGTTCGGGCGCAAATGCGACCGGGTGGTGAGGTCCATTTCACCGGACCGTTGTGAGGGTTGGTTAAAAACGCCCTAGATTAGCTATGAAGGTCCAATCTACATCGTTGGAGCAGAACTTCTGCATATTGTGCAGTGGTAGCACTCCCAATACATGTTGGGAGTGACACACCTCAGAATCCTCATCGATTCTTTTTCCTTTCTGAACAGGTCTCGATAGAGGGGGAAAAACCACCATCTGACCCGCAAGCATGCTGGGTGACCCACACACACACACTCATGGATATGCGTACTGACTTGATAGCGGTGCCACACGCCGGCCTAGGGTTCCATTTCCTAAGAGTACAGGTAAGGAAACCTAAAAGGAAGAGGAGGTCCATCCAACGGAGGTCCCACAGGTTTCAGGTGGCCAGCAGCTCCAAAAGGAAAACATCGATCGAGCGGACGACCAGGTGACGGCGTTCCGTGCGTGACTGCAGCAACAAGAGAAACATGTGATTGAGGTTCTAGGCTTAGCCTCTTGCCATTCGGAAAAAGAAAAAGGCAGGTACGTTCCGGAGGCGTCCCTCAGGAATATCACAACACGATGGAAGGGTCTTCGTTGGGCAATGCCTTCCAAAGTGTTCATTGCCCCCCTGCGGTAAAACAAATGCAAAAGCATCCCTATGACTCCAAGGGTGACACACACACGCCTCCCCGGAGGGAGGCAAACTTTTAAGCTCCATGCCGAGGGTGAGGTGAGACTAAGAGAACTGATCAACTGAAAAACTAAGGCTCCAACAGGTTCCAATGAACCTAAAACTGGCTTTGACCGCTCTGGTCACCTTATGCCTTGCCGAAATGGCTGGCTGCTTCGACCGCTGCGGTCGCGTAAAGGCATGAGCCAGCTTGGAATTCCAAAAATGAGACGTAAATCATCGGACGTACGGCATTAGCCATCTACTGTCCGCTGTGGACATCTGCGTTCCCAAAGCCGGGGGAACATGGACGTACACCCGTTCGACGGGTCCACGGGAGGCACTCTGCGGGCTCATCCCGGGTTGGCACGAAGCCAAACACACTCATGGATATGCGTACTGACTTGATAGCGGTGCCACACGCCGGCCTAGGGTTCCATTTCCTAAGAGTACAGGTAAGGAAACCTAAAAGGAAGAGGAGGTCCATCCAACGGAGGTCCCACAGGTTTCAGGTGGCCAGCAGCTCCAAAAGGAAAACATCGATCGAGCGGACGACCAGGTGACGGCGTTCCGTGCGTGACTGCAGCAACAAGAGAAACATGTGATTGAGGTTCTAGGCTTAGCCTCTTGCCATTCGGAAAAAGAAAAAGGCAGGTACGTTCCCGAGGCGTCCCTCAGGAATATCACAACACGATGGAAGGGTCTTCGTTGGGCAATGCCTTCCAAAGTGTTCATTGCCCCCCTGCGGTAAAACAAATGCAAAAGCATCCCTATGACTCCAAGGGTGACACACACACACACACACGAGTGGCCCCTGATTTTGGGACCTCCAAACCCAAGGGGATGATATTCCATGGGCACCTCACCGCCACGGGTGACATCGGCCTAAAAAAGGACGTCTCGTTTCTTTCATCCCGCGCGTCGCACTGCGAAAAAGCGTCGAGCCCGTGTTGAGCCCGACGGAGGATATAATATAGTACTTGAGAGGGCGTCGAACGCAGGGCGTCCGAAAAGACTCTGCGCAAGGCGCAGCCCCCGACTTTGCGGGGAAAAAGCGGCCATGCAGATCGTGCAGTCCAGGGAGGTGTGGCGGGGGTGCACGGCACGGGGGGTAGTGCGATCGAACAACAGTACCCCTTCCTTGACTCCTGAATGCTTCAGCCCTAGAAATCTGAAACAACCTTATTGTGTACTAAGCTGGTTCCAATCACGTAAATAATGCTTGTGACGTGCGTGTGTGTATCTTATTGGGACCCTCCCCTCAATCAAGACGAAATCAATTCGATAAGGGGGGTGGGGGGGTGTCCAATTGATTTTATCACGCAATGTCGGGTGGTTATTTTTTGTAGTGATTGATATACATTGATATAAACGAGAACTTCAGACCTCCTTGAGAGCTCGCCTTTCGTGATGGCTCTCTTCAAATTACATGCGCAGGATCTGCGGCCCAATTTTTGCTCTGATTGGCTTTCAGAGATCCACTTGACTACCACAGACTGTTCTGTGTGAAATATTTCAAACACGGCTCCTCGACACAGAAGTTACGCTCAGCACAGAGATTCGAGTGGCGCCAAGGGCAGTCGCACATGCCTGTGGGGACTGAAATGCCCCAGCGGGAGGTTTTGCGCACTTTGTCACTCAGCTTTCCATCATATCTATCACTCCTCTTCATCACGTGCGGTGACTGGGTCCAGAGCGTTTTCTGTGCCTTCACCACCTTCGAGCAATCCATGTCGTTCATGCCTCTCCAAAGCTCTACCATGCCACGATCGCTGCACTTGTCACCACACACGGCCACAAAGTACCTCGAGCGACGTGTGACGTGTCGAAACATGATCATCAGACCATGACGTCTCCGTATGGGTGAGTATGGGTGCGTAACACACGGTGTGTATTTTAAATCCGAGAGATTTTCATTGGGCCTTGGCTGAGTAGACTGGTCTATTACGGTCTATTTATATCATCTATGTCCATTCTTCCAGGGGAGGTCTCCCTGTTTGAGCTACACATGATATCCATGGCCCTGGGCCCTGTGGGTGACCTGGATTCCGAGCAGCATCTGCAGAGTTTGGTGGTTTTGGAGAAAGGGAAGCAGCTTGGGTGCAACTTGATGCAGTTGTGCAGTTGCATGTTGCTCCACTTCGAAGCAGCGCGAAATCACAGACCGAAAAGTCAAATGTTCAGCCGACGGTTTGTACACCGAGGCACCCCCAGTTGCAAGCACCAAAGCCCGTGCAAGACTTGCTGGTCTGACCCAAAGCCCAAGAAACTTTCGGGTTTTTCTCGCAACTGGGGCCATTCAGAAACTTGAGATTCTTGATGACCTTGTGGGTTCTCTCTGTGGTGCGATTGTAGCCTGCGAAGATTGAATCGACCACTGTGCAAAAGTTCTTTTCCTGCTTCTGCTCCTGCTTGGGCTTCTGCTTGCGCCAAGGCAGCCGAATCTGGAATCTCTTTGAACTCGGACTGGCAGGGCTTTCCGGAACCCAAGAGCATGGATGACTTTGAAGAATCTTTTCAGCAATGCTGTTGAGACCGATAAGCATATTGCCCAAAGCTTTGAACTGCTCCAGCGCAGTCTTGAGCTTCCCCCATTCTTGTACTGCTGTGTCCATATCTTTGCTACACTGCTTTCTCTTTTCCTGGTCGGTCTCAAGGGCACAAGCTTCTTGCGGGTATTCGGGGCCCTGGTTTTTGTGGCAAGATCCGTGGTTGAAGGCGGGCTTCGCGGCCATGTTAGTGCGATAGGATGCAGGGCCGACCAGAGCCAAATATCCTTTGGTAATCTCCAAGGTGTAGCCCTCGACGCGCCCACCTTCGCGTTCCAGGTGTTTTTCGTACCAAGTACGAAGTAAGGTGACATCGCTGGATTTCGCAAAGCCGCCTGCCCAACTTGCGGCAATCGAAGTTGGGAAAAATTGTGAAGTTGAAAGATGGGAAAACTTTTTTGCGGAACACAGTTGGTTTTACCCAACCATGAGGTGACCAACCTCTTTGGTTTCTTTGATCGAGTTGTGCGGAACAGAGTTTGTTGGTTTTACCCAACCTCTGCACAACCAAAGAAAACTTGAGAGGTGACCACAGAGGGTAAAGCAAGCATATGGCTGCCCGACTGGCTGCCCAACACTCAAATTCGCTGAAAGTGACGCACCGAGGCACCCCAGATTCGATAGAGCTCGAAAATCTTCTCCTGCATGGCCATGAAGTCCCATCCCAACTGATCCAAGTGAAAGTTGCGGAGCTCCTGCGACACCGCTGCCTGCATGTCTGCCAGGGAGATCGGAGGTGGAGGCTTCTTGGAGGTTGCGCCCACCAAAAGCGAGAGCAGTTGCCCAGCCAGTCCCAACAAAGGCGAGACCGCTCCAAGCGTGCCGGAGACGGCGGAGACCAAGGGCCCCAACTCTGCTACGGCCTGGAAAACGCCGTTCCACACGGCACTGCCATCGCACTTTCCAGCCGGTGCCGCGATGCAGTTCTTGATGGCGGGAGCCGCTTTGTTGAGGGCCGTCAGGGTGCTCTTCGCTGCCTGGGCCTTGCTCTGGATCTTCTCCAACTGGTCAGCGGCGGGCTTCTTGGCCAGTTCTTCGTTCTGCTTCTTGTCTTCCTTTGAGCAAAACACTGACTCGAAGAAACGAAAGGTCCACACATCGGGCAAACTTAGTGCTTTTCTTTGGGGGTGTGGATCCTGGGAGTGCTGCCCATCCCACTCCTCATCCAACTTCTGCTTCAGGCGCTCGAGCGTTTCTTCTACATCCTGCCACTGCAGCCGCCACTCCGAGGCATTGTGCTCTGCCACACCGCTGACCTGCTGCCGACATGTTTGTACACCAGGGCCCCCTAAGGAGTGTCTATAAATAGTCACTTGCATGTTATGATGTTAAGGAGTGTCCATCAACCACCTCTTGTGGGTTCTGGAAAAACAAGATGGAGCCCACGAACCCGAATGCAAACACATATGTCAATCCACTGTGTATAGAAAGAGACACAGCCGGTTAGATTATCTTTTTCACACTCCGGTACGCTGTTGGACATCATGCGCTGGGGAATCCACCACCAAGGCAGCATGTGCTGGGGACTTCACCATCAAGCTCCGTCTTCGTCATGAAGGGTCTTCGTGTTGCATTCAAA